GATAACATTGCATGCAATATTATCTCAATTTTAGCCAAGGGGTGCAATATTATCTAGGTAATATTGCATATGATTCTGAAAAACACCATTTTACTGATATTGACTTTATATTGCATGCAATAAAATCACAGGTAATACGGTATAAAACATTGCAAATAACAATACAAATAATATTAATTATTAGCTGTTGAAAGTGGAGTCTTTGGGTTACGACAGCCAACGATACGGACATAATTGGCGGGAATGAGACCCACTTTCTGGCCATCAATAGTGGCCAACAGCCATCCCCTAACTCTCGGCTGTAGTTCTGTATAAACATAAAATATATTAATAAAAGTTAATGAAAGGGTTGCTATAAATATGAGTACCCTTTGGCGCCACAATAATCTTGTGGCCGACAGTAAACGGCAGTTCTCGAGGATTATCTGTTTGAAAGTTATAGAGTGCGGTCGCCTCGTAGTGCTCGCCCTCACCCGTCGCCCACTTTTCACACGCTATTCATTCATCAAATCATACGTTAATCTCATTATTGACGGACAAAATAGTGGTATACTATACCTGTCTTCTCGGTTGTGACAATTGAAGACAAAAGCCTCCATAAAAGCCAAGGCGTGCCCAATATTATGCTGAAGAATATAAGTATAGGCCACGGGGAACCGCTCCTGGAATCACTTGTTAATGTGCCGTCGAAAGTGCCGTCGGCTGTCAAATGGGATTCAATAGGATTGGTGTCATTGAAGGCTCGACTCCACGCTCTCTCAGTTGGGTCTTCGTTGTGAGGGTTGACCCGAACGCCAATTAAAGACAATATTCTTCTGATAATCCATTTGAATGTTTTGATGACTGCAAGCGTTGACAGCATTTGCTGTAAGTGTTGCCGAAGACGTGAGAAGTGGTCGGCGACGCCAATGAAGGCCCGAAACGATGTGTTGACTGTATATATGGTTGACTCCAACATCATAGACACCGACCCAAAGGCCTGAGCTATCGATTCAATCGATTGAAACGCCTGTCGAGACCTCTCGTCGGCGATTCTCCACAAATCATTATCACTGCTATTGTGTCCCAAATAAGGATTCAAACCATTCATACGATTCATACCATATCCTCCGCCATAAGGAGACAAACCATTGCATGAATACATAGAGGAATATCCGCCCAATTGGTTGCCAAAGCCGTAACCATTGCCGTAACCACTCGTCCGATACATATTGGGGTCGTGTAATGGGTTGGGACGCGGAGGAAGTGGTGGTGCAATACCTGATCCACTTCTCACTGAAGACATACCAATGCCTTCGTTGCCAATCAAAGGGTTTGCATTTGGATTGGCATTAAAATGAGTGAAATTGTGATCATTTGAATGCATTGTTTATAACGACAATCAATTATCGGATCATTTATTGTAATCACAATTACATTACGTTTACAATTAAAATACAAAAATCCCAAACATTTTCACATAAATAATGTTAACATTCATTCAATTGGCGAACCATTCAATCAATGCATACAAATATAGCACTCATTAATACATAACTCTTATATGTATTATAATTATGGTATTTATTGATACCGTAAACGCGATTAAGTGATGATTAAAAATGCATTTATAATAATTAAATATCAAAACCAATAAATAAGATGTGATATTGAGAGCCGTTATTACTATTTAGACATTTATTTACAAAAAGTTGAAAACTATGCGAAGCTTTGCATACAATTGCAATCATATGATCCGCAAAACAGTCACAACTCATTGAAATACAATTAATATAATTGTTTCGCAAACTTATCACTCGTTTTTGTTTAAACAAATCAATCATTAATTTACTGATTATTTGGTTGAAGTAAATGATCCAATAAATGGGTTTAAGTGTTAAAAAGATATGTTTAATGAATTGATTTGCAATAAAAATGATGACCGAAACGAAGAGTTTGTGGATTGAGTTAAGCCTTTATAAGGGATGCAGTGATCTGTGGCTGTAATGATGTGTTCAGTAATAATGTGGTGCAGAGGGAGAGGAGGGATGTGTTGGATGTGATGGATGTGGAGGAGAGAGGGATGTGTTTGGAGGGAAGGGATGTAAGGGCTGTGGAAGTGATGACATCGTGAATGGTTGGGCACAAGTGGTGAAGAGAGTCGGTGTGAAGATGTGATGGGAAGGAATCGATGATAAAAATGTCGGACAATTGGATAAGTGGTGGAAGTGTTTGGATGAAGAGTCGATCCCATTGTCTATTAGTATGTGAAGAGAAGAAGACATACAAACACTACAAACACTTCCAGAAATGTTTGTAAATGTAATAATCGGTGCAATAGTTGTGCGGAAGAAGTCATTTCTGGCCAGTAATGACTGCAATCACAGCAATCATAGCAATGAATGGTTTGAATGCAATCCAAATGAGTCTCATTTGAAGCCAATTCTAGTCGTTGTCAACACATCTCAACATTTAGTCGTTTATTGCAAACAATTAGTCAATGATTTGGTGGCAAAAGAGCCTAAAGAGCCAAAAAAGTCTTACATTTCGCAACATTTGATGCATTTATTGCTTCAAAAGAGTCATTATTTGATATAATATACGATTTAATCATTTCTTAAATTTAATAATAAGTCAATAATTGGATCACAAATTGTAATAATTGTAAGAATCCTAAGAATCGGACATTTAATTAATGAGTTGATGGAAGACAATGACCGGCGATAAGATTGAGGTCCAGATTGAAAGCTCTTCCAATTTGACCCAAAGTGATGCTCAGCCCGAACCTCAACACCAGTCGACCCAACCGTCGCCCCAACACAGCCTCCAGAAGTCTGATGAGCGCAACGCCAACCCTAACCCCAACCAAAACAAGTCGTGTTGTTTTTGTTGGTGTTGTTGCTGTTCCTGCTCTTGGTATGCATTCCTCCTTACCATCACTCCTACCACTCTATCACTACAACTCGCAATTGTGGCCAACATTTTAACCATTAGTGTTTTGTTTATGAATTATCTCTCAATTTTAAACCCTTATATATTTATGTTATGTTATTTCAAATTTTATTAAACCATATCTTAACCACTATTATGACAAATGGACACAATTTACGAATTAGTTACTAATAATTGACATTAAACTCAATTATATGAATGCATTTGTGCAGTATTAAGAAATATAAAAACAGAAATAACCATGATCAATGATCATGTTGCGTTTAATGCGTGAGCTTAGCAAATGAGCCAACATTTAGTGTTTAATTTTTTGATAAATATTTTAATGGCCATTAATTAACCCCTCATTTAATGCACTATTACTAAATTGCCAGTTATTGGGCACTAATTAGAAACCGTTGCCATATATACGAGTTTCTGTTATAAAACTTGAATGTTGTAATTATAACACTAAATGGTTTTGTTGTCAAATATTCCTTAAATATTGTGAAGAATTCCTAATACAGTAGTAATAATAACGAGTAGAATATATGATTTGATTGTTTTATAACATGGTAAATTATGAATGAACCTAGATTATATTATAATTCACACATTAGTGATCATGTGCTAATTTTAAACGAGAATAGGCGTAAAAATGCTTTTTATTGATAATAATTTGAAATAATCTTAAAAATAAATTTAATTAAATGGAGCTCTTACATTTATAGGAATAGTTGATTGGTCAATTAGTTTTGTTTATAATTGATCATTCTCTGCGTTTTAATATTCACATTTTAATTCACAATTTATAATAGTTAAAATTTTTATATTGAAGGAAATGTTTAATTTGATAAATTGCTTAAAAATCAATTTATATTTAAAATACTTGATAGGAAATAATTATTTAAAATATAATGTAATTCTAATTGTTTTTACTGATAATTCTTTTAAGAAATAATTTTTAATTAAGAAATATTAACATTTTAACATTTATTATAATTATTTTTTATCCGTAAATAAGTTATGTTTGAATTATTCATTAGAAATGCAAATATTATGCATAACAAGAATCTTAAATTATAATTCAAATATATTCACTCATATTAAGAATATTAAGAATATTCTAGTATTCATTATAAAGTGCATTGAAAATACATTCACAATGAGTTATATACTGACACTACAATTGAGGCACAAATTGACTGACAGTTAATTGAATTTTGATTCCGTATTCGCACATTATATTGAATTTTTAAAAAACATTTAATAAATTTTTGTGTATTTTTTGTATTTTTGTCGAAACAGTCTTTCTGTTAAAAATCATGGAAAGTCTAAAGAAAACAAATCACTGCAGTTGTCATCAATTGAACATTATTTTAATGGCGATTCAGATTCGCCGTAAGTATTCATTTATTTATTAAATATTTCATTATAAATCACATTTACATGAATGCCGTGTATTGTAGGCGTTATTTACCATATTTTCTAATCATAATAAACTTTAAAATTTAATTGCATTTTTACATTTTCAGTTTATAAATAAATTGATTATAACTAACACTACAAATAATACACTCTTTGTATAATAAAGAGTATATTATTATTATTTTAATTAATAATTATCTAAAATTTAGAGTAAATATGCAGAATATATTAAAATTTCAAAAGATTTATGCAAATATGAATTTTTGTATTTACAAGTGACTTTCACAAAAATTAATATGTTTTATATAGCGTATTATTGTTGTGCATTTTTAAGCCAATTAAATCTTAAAAGCGATTTTTAGCGTTTAAATAACAGATTTATTGCATACAATGATTATTGTAATTTTACTATTGATTTCGATGAGTAATCTTATAATTAAACGTAAATTTATAATTGAATGAAAAAAATATGACCATTAAATTGTTAACTTTTGTCTGCTTTCCATGCATTCAATTGTTTTAATAATCTCTATAATGGTCTCAATATCTTGAAAGCATTTTTTGATTTAAAATTAAATTAAAAAGATAAATTAAATTTATTAAAATTAGACTATCGTTATTTTTAATTAAATAAACATTAAGTATTTGATGAGATTGCGCGAATGAAAGTATTATCAAGCTAATTATATCACAAACTATTTTGCATAAAATTGTGTGAATAATAATGGATTTTAAAATTTTTTATAAATTGAATTACAGAATTATTATTTACAGTGTATTTCGACAGTATTTACAATTGAATTATTATAAACTAGGGTATAAATATATAATAATGATATATTAATGAATAAAATAATATTTGTATGTGATTTAGTCCGACCATTGAAGACATCCGTTGTTGGGGCGAATCATTTGACAAACTTATGAAATGTTCGGGTGAGTCATCCCTCCATCCCTTTCTTCACCAATAATTGTCACTTAACTCACATATCATTCAATTGTTTCACTTAAAACTTTTATTATTATTTCAGTAACATTTGAGTCAATTTTCATTTTATTGATTGTTTTGTTCACATGAAATGATTTTATGTTAGACACGACACGACATGAATATATTTTGGATTAAATAATTGAAACAATTTTTAGTATTTTACACGTTTTCTGTACAATTCATTGAATCCCACGAGATATTAACGATTCTGTGTCTGTCTGTAATTTCTTTACCATATATTTTGCACACTTTTTTGATTTCATAGCACTTTCGATGAGAAAAGTTGTTTAATTTTCGGGTTTTGTTAAACAAATTATTATTTTGACTTTTGTTTTGTCAACAGTTTATGAGATTAGTATTTATTTAAAAATTTTTAAGAATTCAATTTAAGTATTTTTCTTATATTTAATTTACCTTATTTTCTCCGACTGAATATGTTTTTATTTGGAAAGGGGAATTCTTTTGGCCTCAAATGGCCAACCCTTTTGCTAGTGGTATGAAAATAAGCACAATTATTACATGTTTTAAATGTTCATGGCTTATAAGTTATAACATTCATTATGTGAATTACATTTTTCAATGCTATAAGTCATAGACGCGTTATTTGGAAATTGGCCACTACTGGCCATTTGTTATTCTTATAAATTAAATTTGTTAAATATAATAATTTCCAGCATTAGTTGTTTTGTTAAAATTAGTTTTGATAATTAGTGATTGAGTGATGAATACTGTATTTAATAGTTTGTATTAATGTATGAATTGTTGACTGAATAGGGGGTCGGAAAGTGTTTCGAGATTTTCTGAAATGTGAGTACAGCGAAGAGAACATTCTGTTTTGGTTGGCGTGTGAAGACCTCAAGAAGGAGTCCAATCCCGATGTGATCGAAGAGAAGGCACGCCTTATATATGAAGATTACATCTCTATATTATCGCCAAAAGAGGTATTCACTAAACGAGTCAAAACAAAAGTTTGTGTTAATACTAATTGTTTTGCATTTCAGGTGAGTCTGGATTCACGAGTGCGAGAGATAATAAACCGCAATATGGTAGAGCCGAGTCCGCACACGTTCGACGAGGCACAGCTCCAGATCTATACACTCATGCATCGCGACTCTTATCCTCGTTTCATAAACTCTCAAACGTATCGAAAATTAGCACAAATACCTTCTCCGACCCGAAAGGGAAGTGCGGCCTAACATTGATTGCACCCGATTTGGAGTACAATATAATTGCGAATCAAACAAATCAATAATTAATTGAAATGAATTAATTGGACAAAAATGTTTTGTGCAAACAATATAACTCTAAAGGGCAATGACTTAACGCATTCTGATTTGCGTTTTCAACAATTTTATTGTATATTTAGAGTCTTTTTAGAGTTATTTATTCATTTATATTATAAAAGATCACAACTAAAGCATCACTTTATAAAACAAATTATAAATTGTCTCAAAACTGATGCTTTGGCTAATGATCTGTCACATGAAAAAAGCAACTAATAATTAAATTAAATCCAATAACGGCTCAACACCTCATCCGATGGCAACAACACAACAATTGTGTGATTGAAGTGATCAAAGACATAAAGATAACCAAATGATTATCTTATAGTTGATTCTATCTTCTATTCATTTGCTATATATGTATATAAGTTCTGTTCAATCAATCGACTCTTTGCTTCAATATCTCATTCTTTCGACAATTCGTTTACAAATACGACCAAACATTTTATTATTATTTATTACAATATTGTTATTGTTTTTAAGTTTATTTTTCTTATAAATTTTATTGTTTTTATTATTTACCATAGTTTTAGTATTTTTTGTTTTATATTTATTTATTTATAAGTATATAATTTATTCTATAATTTATATATAATTTATTTATACAAATTAATATAAATTGATTGATGGAAAGACTCAATACTATTGACTCAAATCAAGACAAAACCTGCCCTTTAGTCCAATTGTTATCGTTTATAATTTGTTTAGCAATTGTCTGTTTGAACGGTTCAATCGTTAATGAGTTTCACCACAAATATTCTTCATAATCAGCTCATCATTGAGTTCTCATTTACTGGACATCCTTTCCATCTGACAATTGGGAACAATTGGAAGTCATTCTTATATATCATTCAATGAATCAGTTTTAATACATATTAACGAATAAATCTAAACGCAAAACAAGACAACACTTTGAAACTGAACCACAATTGATATTTCTGTGATTTGTGTAATAAAATGACAAAAAACTTTGAAAACAATGTGAGATAACGACTGAAAACGCTTTATTTTGAAGCAAACAAAAAACATTACAATAATTATATATAAAAATTAATTTATAGCTTATAATGTAATTCCCTTTGTTTTTATGAATTGTTGCATAACTTATATATCGTTGTTATCATAGAATTGCAAGTAAAAGATGTCTTGCATTTGATCCGACATTTATTACATGATTACCAAAATATTTGTCGTACTTTTTATCGATTTTAAATGCATTCAAGTCATCATTTTGTTAATAATAATAATAATAACAATTGTATCAAATATTTTAACTTAAGCTCAAATTCATAACATCACTACTGTATCAAAATGAATACATTTTGTGTATAAAAACAATAACAAAATACAAATTAATGTTTGCATTGTTCGCAATATATAAATATAAATATATTAAGTTATTATATCGATATAAAAGTGCACTTTTTATATAATTTGTATTTATATTTATTTCAATTTCTTCTTAATTTAAATTGAAAATAATTTTTAGATACAATAACTCGTTATGAAATACAGTAAGTATTTTACAACTAAACAACGCTTCACAACAAACGGCAAACAAGAATTTGTTGACATTTTTATATTTGACACTCAATTTCTATTATAATTAATTACACAGAATTGTGTGTTTGAGGTGAGGGGTGTCTACTCTACCCAATACATCATTTTATGTCATTTTGTTAACCATTTCAATATTGCAATATTATTTGTGTCCATTATTTGGAAATAAATGATGCAAATTGAGTGCAGAACCGGCACTAAGAATACACAATTCCTTAATTTAATTGGTATCCAATTCTGACAATGTATACTCTATTACATGGAGTCTATGTATTAAAAATGATTTAGAAATGAATAACATTTGGTAATACATGAAATGAAGAGACTGTATGTAATGTTAGACACTTCCCTCCTTGGTCGAATATATTCCGGGAAAATGGACCATGATTCTATAAACCACATTATTCATGCTGGTGAATTGTGATTAAAAATTAGTTGACTTATACTGGATATTAACGATTTTTGTTTAAACCAATAATAAGTTAAAGGATCATGGATAACTTATCATTGATAAGAATCAGACATTTTCATGTAAAGCATGTAGAATATTAATTTTTTAAACAAAAAGTAGGTTATTTAAAATCAATTTAATATCAAAATATTGTCAAAAATCACATTTTTAGCCAATATGCAATGTTTTACTTGAATATTTGTCATTTTTAGCACCATGGCCATTTATTATTTGTTTTTAATTATTTTTATGTAATAAACAATTTATTATTATTATTTATTATTTAATGTTACATTAATTGTGACAAAAAATATGAATTTATATTTATTGATACAATATATGAAAAATACCTCACATTAACACTTATAAAGTAGATCTAAAGAATGTAAATTACATTTATTTATTAATCATATGCAGTATTAATCATATTAAAATTAAGAGAGAGAGAGAGAGAGAGAGAGAGAGAGAGAGAGAGAGAGAGAGAGAGAGAGAGAGAGAACATTTAACCTTGATACAATTGTAAATTTGCCAATAAATGCAAACTATATGTATGTAAAGCAGTACTACTGATGACCACTAGAGACCAAAGTGGACGGCAACTGGACTACTAGTTGTAAGATCATACAACTATGTGATGTTGTATCTACGCCTACGCCTAAGTATGTACAGTATGTTGTGTACAGTACTTCTCATACTTAAAGTTTTGTGACTTTAGTGAGTTATAGAATAAGAAGCAAACACTAATTAAATAGCATTGATTTATTTTTATTGCCATTTTTACAAAGTATATCAATTATCAGGAAATTTTGTGACATTAACTCTAATTTGGTAATTATTTACATAAAAACCTGATTTCTATATCACAAAATGTTTCTATCATTTTGCATAAAAACAACTTTTCTGTGAGACATTGTTATGACTGGAAATATATAGCACAGGTTTACCTGAATTATTGACTTTTAAAAACTTGTAATTAGATTTATAAAGAGTAAAACCATACGAGAAGTGGTATTGAATTTGGTATAAATATTTAGACAATAAACCACTGTTTGTGCGAACAATTTATCGTTAGATACCTGTTTGGCGAGTCTTTACGGCTTCTCAATGAAAGTAAAGACCAAAACTTGTTTGACAGCCGAAACACATATTCAAAAGTCATTTTAATGTATGTTTCAGTAAAAACAGTTTCACTTTAAGTGACAATAAAGTAATTTTCTGTAAAATTTTGTTATAATAATTAAACAACGGATCGATTTTGACCAATATTTGTGTGATATTTATTGTAAAGAACTTTAATATTTAATTTATTGTACTAATAATTAAATGGCATTCAGTTTGAAGTGTGAATTCGTGTATTATTTGTGTTGAAGTGAATAAATTAATATTGAATTTAAGACCAAATCAACAAAATGTTGAGTAATTCAAAAGACAAGACATTTAATGAGCTAATCGTCAAACGTCTTACGGGATGGAAGTACTGGCAGTGCTTTCAGTGCATTCATAATAAGATAATACATTATCTCAAACTTCTTGAATGACTTCAATGCGAAGCCAATGAACTCTTGAAAGAAATCGTATTTTTTACTCAATCAATGCTTTGGACTAACTTTTCATTGAGTTTTACTAATAATTTTTTACATTTATTTACTTTTATATTTTAGTTAATAAAAATTAAATGATATTTAGTTCAATTAAAACGATAATTTTAATTCCTAATCAATTTAATAGTCATCAAAATCACATATTAGTGATATTAAATCACCGACATTTAAATATATTTAATACAAAACAGGTGTTTCCCATATTAGCAATTAATTGATCATTTCTTTCCAGAATCATTAGTATATGAGTTGGCGTTCAAATAGTTTATAATCTAATGATTTTAAAATTTAATTTCTTAAAACATTCTGATTTGAGTTTAAATACTATTAATAATATTTTTATTTGAAATTTAATTTCATATTGAAATTAAAAGTTTTAATTTTAAAAATACATCCAAAACATCTTAAAAGCCATTTTCTTTTTCTCATTTATTTTCTCAATGTTTTAATTTAATAAATCTTATTATTTGTGTGATTTTAGTCAACGCAGTGAACAAAACCCACACAATATTTTTTATTAAAATACCTGACATCTAGATAAAAATATTAATTATCATAAGAATCCTGTGAATTGATGTCTTAAGAAATGTATAAAACATTATTAATTATATGAGTTTATATCTGAAAATTTATTTTCTTAAGTCTTGTGATATTCATAAAATGTAAAAATATTTATTTTTAATACCTTTAGATTTACTGATAAAAGCATTGATCAAAACGATATTCTAATGTTTTAGAGATATTTTGTTTTATTGATTTATGATTTAATTTATGATAAAATATTTAATAACTTATTTTAAAAATAAAATATAATTTGTTTATTATTGCAAATAAAATGGGAAAACAAGAATTGCATTCAATGTATCACTTGTTGTTTGTTTTGAACGAAAACACCAATAATTGGGTAAATGTTGTCCCCATTTTGTATCCAATACTCAATCCACGGTTCAAAAGCTTTGGAGAGAGAGAGAGAGAGAGAGAGANACAATTGTAAATTTGCCAATAAATGCAAACTATATGTATGTAAAGCAGTACTACTGATGACCACTAGAGACCAAAGTGGACGGCAACTGGACTACTAGTTGTAAGATCATACAACTATGTGATGTTGTATCTACGCCTACGCCTAAGTATGTACAGTATGTTGTGTACAGTACTTCTCATACTTAAAGTTTTGTGACTTTAGTGAGTTATAGAATAAGAAGCAAACACTAATTAAATAGCATTGATTTATTTTTATTGCCATTTTTACAAAGTATATCAATTATCAGGAAATTTTGTGACATTAACTCTAATTTGGTAATTATTTACATAAAAACCTGATTTCTATATCACAAAATGTTTCTATCATTTTGCATAAAAACAACTTTTCTGTGAGACATTGTTATGACTGGAAATATATAGCACAGGTTTACCTGAATTATTGACTTTTAAAAACTTGTAATTAGATTTATAAAGAGTAAAACCATACGAGAAGTGGTATTGAATTTGGTATAAATATTTAGACAATAAACCACTGTTTGTGCGAACAATTTATCGTTAGATACCTGTTTGGCGAGTCTTTACGGCTTCTCAATGAAAGTAAAGACCAAAACTTGTTTGACAGCCGAAACACATATTCAAAAGTCATTTTAATGTATGTTTCAGTAAAAACAGTTTCACTTTAAGTGACAATAAAGTAATTTTCTGTAAAATTTTGTTATAATAATTAAACAACGGATCGATTTTGACCAATATTTGTGTGATATTTATTGTAAAGAACTTTAATATTTAATTTATTGTACTAATAATTAAATGGCATTCAGTTTGAAGTGTGAATTCGTGTA